TAATTTTAATGAGTTTATATTTATTTTCGCACGCATGTAATGCAAATATTTTACTTACACTTAAAATAACATATATACAACGATAGGAATCAGCAGGTGCTTTAAAAAGATTCCAATTGATTAGTTTACCCAACTACTTAATTTTCCATATTAAACGTTTCACAAAAAATAATTGGGATCTTGAGAAAAATCCCACGATTGTAAACTTTCCGATTAAAAAAATTGAGATGAAAGATCGTAAGTATCCATACTCTGTTATTAAGAACTATCTCTTGTCATTGATTATCATAGTAAGTGCATTATGCCTATAATCAATTTATTATCTATTTGTTTATTTTTAGTTCTCGAAAATCCAGAATCAGAAATGTTGGACACGCATTATGATTTAATAGCAAATATATGTCATGAAGGTAAAGCAGGTAAAAGTAATGGAATTTATAAAGTACATGTTCAACATCGTGGTAAAGAACAATGGTACCAAATTCAAGATTTGATTGTGGAAGAGATCAATGCACAAATGATTTTTTTGTCTGAAAGTTATATTCAGGTATTTTTTTTTTTTTTGACTTTATATAATATTGGTGTTCCTTTTTTTGTATTAATGAGGTTTTTTTTTAATATATATATATATGTATAGATTTGGGAAAGAAAAATCCAAAATCTTTAAATAATATAATAACAACAATAATAAATAATTTTGAAAGTAAATTTAGAGTAGTTTGTAATATAATTACTATACTGCCTTTTTTAATTGAAATATTCATAAATAACGTAGAACAAAAATAAATAAATATTAATTAATTATGTATAAAACAATAAAAGAAAAAAACAACAAAAAAAAATAATAATATATATTTCAAGAAAACACATGTACATTAAATATTGTTTAGAATTCCAGAACAAAGTTACTTTCATAAATTTGTCCAGTTCTTTTGTTAATAGCCATCGCTTTTATTTCCATTGTACTAAAAGTTAAACTAAACTCTACCAATCGATTTTTACCTTTTTGTGGATCTGGTAAATCAATTTTCATCTTGCCAAGCATTCTCATTCCATCCTCATCACAATAATTTGCACCATTATCGGGTGAAATGAAAATATTGAATGTCATATCTACTTGATTTGGAACAACTGGTGCTGCTGTGTAGGAATATTTTTGATCAACTGATACTTCCGTACCACGGTATGCCAATTTGTGAAATTTGAAAATACGCCCTGTTTGTGTTCTACGTTCTGGTGGGTCAGTTCTTTCCCATCTGGAACTAACTTCAATTCCGTAACAAAACTTCAATACACGAGTTTGAACCACATCCATATTAAGTCCATATTCTAATGATCCTCTTACTACTGCTGCAATAGGATGTTTTGGTACAGCAATTACCGGTACCTATAAATATATCAAAAAAAATTTTTAATAAGTAAAATAGTTGCTTTAATAAATTATATTTATGTTTCTCAATTATATTACATTCATTCATTACCTTGAAAATACTTGCCACATACTAAACAAGCATAAACATTTAGATTTGACAAAGATACTGAACATACTTTTTCAAAATCAAAATCCAACATGTGTCGATTTATCTAATAAACAAATAAATAATTAAAAAGAATTCTTGAAAGAAATGAATATATACAAAAAACCCACAGTATCCAAGTATAGATCACTTGAGTTATTACGATTTTGGTTTCCTTGAAGGCGAATTTTTTTAGAGTCTGGCTCTCTATCGATAAAAGTATCGGCATTTTGAGTTTCTAATTCACGTTTTACATTATTTGATTTATTATTAACTTCTTGAGTCATTTTGTAAAAAAAAAAAAATAATATAAAAATTTTTGTTATATATATATACAAATTTTTATATCACGTGTTTACGTTATAATAAAAACCAGGGTACGAAAATGCGTGATCAAAAATAATCGGGGATGCCACGTGTCCCAAAAAAAAAACTCGAAATCTTTGAAGTATGACGAAAAGCCAGAAATCGTTATCCTAAAAAGGATCCAGAAAATCAAGGAGTTTATTAATAAAGCATCTGAAAGCAAAAATATCGAAACAGAATCTCAGAGTTATGATCAACAACTTTATAATACATGTAACTCAATATCTAAATCGTAATTGCTTCACAGGTAAGTATTACAGTCAATAGCACAATTAATTATACAATTGACATTTTTGTGACAGCCATTACCGAATTTTGAATTGACTCGCAATCATATAAAACGATAACATATCCTCTGCTGTTACTCCAAAGCTCTTTCCACTATAAGGGGAACGTAATCAATTTATTAATTCGTTAATAAAACACTTAATGAATCCCTATGCTTAGAACTAAATTTTAGCATAGATGCGGAAAATGTACAACAAATAGATTGTTATTGCATTTTTGGTTTGCAAATTGTGAAAAAAAAACATTAGTTCGACAATCAATTTATTATAAGATACGGGAGGAGATAACCAAAGCATATTTTAAAACTCCATTTCAAATCAACCTCATATGTCTAAAAAAATATATATTATTTAAACATGTTATTTTAAAAATAAATGCAAGTTGTGTGTGAGTTATCCAAATTGTTGGTATTCAATCTGCCCAACCTGACGGATTATCTGGATCATCCGATGAAATCCAATACCAATGGATGTAATGGATGGATGACGACGGAGTGATTTTTGAGATCGGATATCAGCGAATATCAGAATTGGTTTTCCCAACTTTGCATTATTTAATCACAAATATACTTTTCTACAATATTCTCTGCCAGAAGCATTTCACTAAAATTCTAATTCTTTCTGTCCGGTGTTAATAATCTTTCAAGCACCATTACCGGTCTATTAGTAGATTGATCGTCTATGCTCGAAGTTTTTTCATTCTTCTGCCAGGCACAAAATCTTCAAAACACAGAAACATTTACAATAAATATTATTTTTACAAGAAAGCTCATCAGTAAGTGAAATAGTAATGGCAAAAAACAAAGTACTACGAAAATGATTGCGTAATGTAGCTTAGTATTATCAAAATCATGGACAATGTCTATGACTCGTGTGTCTAGATTCTGATTGCCTTTTTTAATTAATAGATTTTATGCCAACCATAACAAAAACGGCAGGAATTACCAAAACACTTTTTAAGAAATTTAAAAGTTTTTAATATTTAAATTTATATTGGTGATTTTCAATTTAGAATCCTAAAGTTTTATTTCAGGCTTTATTGCAGTCCATCCCATCTAATAACGATTAACCAATTAATGATCTAGATTTTTAATAGGTTCGTTGATTCTGTCGATGACAAAGCCTTTGTTACATTAATTGTATAAAGGAAAATAAAATTTTAATTCATTCATTAAGCCAATATAATATTAATATCAATATTAATAATAATAACTCCAAGTAATAATTTTTTTAATATAAATTAATGTTAAATGTCAATATCGATAATTTTTCTTAAACATAACTTATAATTTATTGATTAATTAATTAGTCAACCTCTTGAGATCTAACACGAGCTTTAGAATTGGTAACCCTAATATTCAATTGTTGAGCTCTCTCAAGAATTGAAATTCTTTTTCTAGAGCTGACTTTTGACGCAATTTCAGCTGCAAATGTTTTGTTGTGCATAAGCAATAATTCCAATTCTTTAACGTTATATACTAAGAATTTCTTAAATCCATTTGGCATTAAATGTCG